ATTTTTTTGGAAAAATCTTTACTTAATCAGGAAATTTTGTTTATAAAGATTTTACAAGATAAAAAAGATAAATAAAACTAATAATGGCAAAATGATGTAATAATGACAACTCACTTTATAATGTGATAATTTAATTGGATGGATAATAAATTTTCTAAATATATAAATAATCTCTAATGATTTATTACCAAAATATCGATAGTAATTTGCTTTACCATTTTTTTTAAAAAAACAATAATTATATATCCAAAATGGTAATAGATTCAACAAAAGCAACACCAGCAAAAAATCATGTACGTTCTCACACTGGAGTCCCAACAAAAGAGCTTTTAACAGCAAAAATAAAATATACTTTTTGAAAGGAAAGAAAAGCCAGTGGAAGAAGGAATAATTATTCAGATGAACAAGTCTTATACATGAACAATGAAAGATTTACTGTGCCAGAGATATTGTTTAATCCTTCTGATATTGGTATTATTTTAAAATAATTGATTTCATCAAATCAAAAAATTAATAATTAATTAATTAATAATGTTGTCATTAGGTATGGATCAAGCAGGTATACCAGAAGCAATTGTAGCATCAATTAATTCAATTAGCCCTGGTAGGATTTTTTAGGCATATCTATTTTTTAATTGAATAACAATAACAATTTGTTATTATGATAACTGACATCTATTAATGAATTTTTAGATATTTTCCCTTTTCAGATAAACAATATAGATACACAAGGGCTATTCTATGAAAATGTTTTATTGGTTGGTGGTAATAGTTTATTTGCTGGATATAAGGAAAGAATGTAAACTATATGATTTATGACTATTTTGTATTTATATAAATAATATTATTTATTATTTATATCTAAAATTTATATTTATATTTATATTATTAGCGAAAAAGATTTACGTGTACTTGCACCATCAGATTATGAAATTAAAATTGGAATTCCTGATAAGTAATTAAAATTAAAACTAAAATTAAAATAAAATAAAATTTTTTATTATAATATTAACTCTCTGATCAATAAATAGTCCAATCTCATATGCATGGCATGGTGGCTCCAAATTTGCCAAAACTAGTGAATTTAAAGATATGTCAGTCACAAAATCTGAATATGATGAACATGGAAGTAACATTTGTTTGAAAAAATTCGGTAAAGTAATGATTAATTGATAGTAATAATAGAATTGAATGGCACATCAAATAAAAGTAAATCAATAAGGTTTTTTATACATACATGTTTAGCCGCAAAATTTTATTGGATGTGTTTGAAATCTAAGGATTTTAGAATACAATTCTGTGATTGATATGTCACGTTATCATGGAGGCTAAAAATTTGCTGTTAATTGGTGCGCTTGAGGGTCGAAAGTTTCAAGTTCAATGTACACCCGACCTCCATCAGAACGGGCTTTTTAATAATTACGTAAAATACCATAACAGCAGCATTAAACAAAATTTATATCACAAGTCAGCTTAGAACATTATGTCACAAAGAAAGTTTAACGTCACAATTGTAATGCTTTATCACCCATTCAAAAAAAAAATACCATTCACATGTTACACACCCAGACAATGTTTTGTGAACTTTTTGTTTAGTCAAAATCGATTTTTTGATCTTTTTTGTATCGTGTGACGGATGACTGTTCGAATTCAAATAATTGCATTTTTCGCGTTTTTTTCATTATATAATAAAATGGAACATGTTTACCTCGATAATATACATTAATTAATTTTGTATAATTGCATGCGTGAATGTTTGACATCTATTTGTTTTTAAACTAGCCTATTTCTGAACATTTTAAGCCAGCTCAAGGGGAATTAGACACAGGTTACAACAACTAAGAATTCCTTCAGATAATTTGTAAATCACACGCAAATTTTAAATGACTGGCGTGAAGCAGTCTGGTACAACTATTTACTTGAATCTTTAGATGGTAAAGATAAAATCGAAAGGTAGTAAATGAATTTATTACGAGTGTTAGAACCAAAAAAAAAAAAACAACTATATTCTAAATCATCACTTAAGAATGCTATTGCTAGTATCAGTTGACACCTCAGAAATGTCAAAAAAGATTGGAACTACAACTTATGCAAAATAAACAACACCAAAAGAAGTTTTAAAAGACAAATTAGTCACGGGAGAAATCGGTTCATTTTACTGCCAACATTCAGGACATGAAAAAAGTAAAAGTTGGCGATACTATTCTGAATTTAGATAATAATTCTTTGCCACTGTAAGGATACCAAGAAGCAAACCCGAACGTTTATTCTAATTTATATCCTGGCAATCTCATTTCCGGATTTTCATCAAAAGTACTTTCTCCTTTTCAAAATTAAATGGTATTTTAGATGGACAACGGAAAACAAAACCAGGCGAAGCTAAACCATATGATACTTTAACTAATCAAGAAGTTAAATTAATATTGGATCACAATTTTTGCTCTCCAAATAATCTAACTGGTTTACTTTATCGTGGATATGTTTATTTGGTTGTACTAGAGATGGTGAACAACATTCTTTGCTCATTTCACGATTTGAGGACACAGAAGATGGTTTTATGCTAAAAAAGTATCAGATCAAGGTAGTATCGAAGGAACGACAGACATCTCGTGTTATTTTAAAGAATTATTAATTGAAGTTGAATCGCCAAGAATTGATCTAAAGCATGGATCAAAGTATCCATAGCAGCAAGATGTTATTTTTCATTTACTTCTTTATACGCACGAATACCTTGTATGCTTCTATGACCTGTTGTTCAATTTATTCGGAATTCGTAATCTTATCAAGTGGCATAATATAATTATAATTCTTGCAAAATTCTTCAAATTTAGTAACCCAATTTCGAGTTGATTTTTCAGTATTTGAAATACTTTGAGGAATAGAATCAACTGGTAAAGTAGAAATCGAAGCCTCGGAAACTTTTTGGGAAAGGAGCAAACTTGCATTAGTAAAATAGGTTGAGATGCTTGTTTGGGGTGCAAAAGGTAAATTGTAATTTTTTATCGTAAGCAAAAAAAAAAGACTTTATGTAAAATAAACTTTTTTCATCTCCGTGAAATAACCATTACATATTAATATGTTATCTTAAAAATAATAAAATAAAAATAAAAATAATAAAGATATAAAAGAATAACATTTCCTTCAAGCTTCCAATTACTTTTTATCTTTCTTTTTTAGATTGAAATTGGTTAATGTAATCAGTCTCCAACACAATTCTATCCCAAAACCTTTCCATGCAAATCTTGAAATTCATAGTAAACTGATTATGTGTGGTGGTGACATTAAATTGTGTGTTAATTTGATAATGAATCTTTCCCAATTCAATAAACCAGAGTTTTGTTTTTTCCTCAATTTTTAATCCATTTTTTTTTGGTATTATTATTGTCATTACAATAATCAAATGTTGGGTTAATATTAAAAATTTGTGGCAAGAACCTTCAAAGAATGGTGTCAAAGTTGTAAAATCATTTGATTTTTTTAATAAGCTCAAATGTACCAACTCAAATGGAACGTCATTCTTACAAAATTCATTGTAAAAAAATATGATCAGTTCAAATGCACAAGTGGTCATTTTTTCTGGTGTTTGTCTTTCAGGATGTAGCAACAATTCTTTGTCAATCCAAGTCTTGATATAATTATATCATTGAAACATATTCTTGTTACAATTGAATCAGGATTGAAATTTTTTAGTACCCATTTGTACAAATTGCTACTTAATTTCAATGTTCTTATATCATGTGGATGATATTTGTAGCCATAAGTACAGTAATAATCAATAATTTTTTTGTTGCTTGTCAAATTGATATTGTTGGCAAGTTTGGAAATTTTGTTCCTAGTAGTATCACCAAAATAATGGTAAACTAGAGCTTTAAGATAAACAGGTTCTAAATCATTTTCTTTAAGTTGAATCTTGAGAAAAACTAAAACTTGATTTTTTTTCGAATTCCTGTTGATTTTAATAGCTTCCACAATGCAAATGTCCAACAATTTCGATTTTTGATTGGTTCCTTACTATTTGGAATACTTCTATAAGCAAGTCTCCAAATTTGGTAAGATCTTGTTCATAGAAAAATAAAATATCTGTCATAACAGATTTTGTCAATTTGAATCCAACCTTGATAAATTGTTGTATGCGTTCAACAAAATCATTTGTAGTTGGGGGTATAGAATTATCAAAGAATCTTGTAACACCAAATTATTGACATCTATACATATGTCAGTGTAACCCAATTTCTGGATAAATTAGTATATTGCTCCGGCAATTATGTTTAATTGCTCATTATTTTCAAAACCATCTTTGGCTGGATATTTTTCACAATTTATTATTTGCATTTCTATTTGCTATTTGATCGTGTTTAAATAAAATCGTTGGTCTTGGGGGAAAAGGTACAAATTTTTTGTTAAGTATAAGATCCTTAATTTCTTCAATGTTTTCTTTTAATTTTTCTGATGTTAAATCTATAGCCAATTGTCCACCTGTTAAATAATAATTCAATATCATTCCCTCTTAATGGAAGATCCGGACCTCGGCCTCAATTAACAAATAGCTGAATATATCCAATGGAATATTCGAAGCCCATGGATTTCTAAAATAATTTTGTGTAACTTTGAACGCGTTATTTGCATTATTGTTGTTATCGATGTTATAGTTATTGTTTATAGTGATATTGATGTCACTATTGATTTTGACTATCATCTTTTCTCCCAAACTGTAAAAGCAACCGTTGTGTAAAATATCTAGATAAATTCACTTTTTCTTCCGTGATGAGAAAAACGACCAACTCCTTTGAGATAAAATTCTCTCTGAATCGAATTGCATGAAATAAGGCATTTGCTCTTCCGTAATTTTGAATTATCCACTTTGCTCTAATTTTGAGTTGGTTGACATTCTATACAGTTTTTTATTGAGTAAAATTAGGGAAAGAGGCTTGGGGGTGGATGTGAAATTTTTTTCTTTTATCGTGCCGGGTAATGAAACCATGATTTGATTTTTGATTTTTTTTTTGATTTTTTTGATTTTTTTATTTTTTTATTTTTTTATTTGGTTTCTTGGTTTTTTGTTTTTTTTTTTTTTGAACATCATATGTGCCTTAAAATTCTTTATTTATAGACGTTGAATTTATTATCAAATGATATTTGTGTAACTGGTAAAAACCTCTCAAAATTAAATGATTGATTGAATGACTCTGAGATTTGAATATTTCTCAATATTTTTTCTACGGATGCAATTAAACCTTTTTTTGCCAGTTATACCAGAAATTGGCCAACCATACCTCAGGCTTATCTAAAAGATGATTTTGTTGGTGGGTGTGATATTGTGTCGGTAGGTGGATTCGCGTGATAAATGAATACTGCGCCATATTTTCCATTTCTGAAAAAAAAAAATATATCAAAATAATGTAAAAAAAAAATTTGGAAGTTGGTCAATTGTAACCATTTAATAGTGACGTATCACTAATTAATTCATAAGTGAATAAATTAGTTCCAAAAAAATCAATAAATTCTTGTTCCTATTCAGTGATTATTATTCATTTCTTCATTCCACACATTTAATGCCTTGCTTGATCTTTGTGCTATCAATCCCTTAATAATAATACAAAAAAAATTATTCCTTGCTTAAACATATAAATAAAATAAACATGTATGAAAACGTGAATACCTTGAGTGTTAAATATTTGAACTACAACTCTGCTATATAAAACCAGCACTGTTGATCACATGCGTGTTAAAATGGAAAATATAAAGAATTTCTTAGAAAATTTACCTGCGGCTCACTAGGTGTGCCTTTCATAAACAGCACTACATCGTTGTTTATTTACAGTCTAATATTATGAAATAAACCACCTGATTAATCATTTTCAACATTTGGTTTTGCTTTAGAAAATAACTAAAATAAATAAATAATGAATACTTCAACTAAAGATTTTTTCAAGCTATCTGATAAGTATCTATATGATAAAAAAAAATGATGGACTATTGAAGCTTTGATTTTGAAACCTTTGATTTGTTGTTAACGTAAAATAATGTTCTTGATGAGTATTTTTATCCAATATATTAAAATATAAAACTACTTTGTCAATTAACAATTAATCATTTAATTTAATTAAGACACACAATTACTTAATTAATCACTAAACAACCAATTAATTGAAAAGATTTGGCCAATATTAATTATTTACTAATCTCATGTTAAACATATTAAACATAAAAGTTATTGAAAATACTATTATTTTTTTTATGTGCATTTGTGCAAATATCTGAAATAATGAGCATCCAAAGTATAAGAACATCCAAATAATTACGAATATTCGAATAGTAATAAGGGTTAGAATTACAATCAATTCAAAGTTATATCCACGAAATTGGAAAATCATAATTTATAGAAATCTATACCACATTCCCTTCATACCATGTGCCATTAATTCAGTAGTTATTAGAACGCATATTTAATTATTTGAATTAAAAAAAAAGGGTTAACCATCAAAGTGCATGCATATAATGAAATTATATCTATAAAAAAGAACTTGGGCCATGCTCCAAAGGCCGCTACTTGGCAAAGCCTATTGTTCACCCAATGTGTTAATATTCATCTATATATCATCATGTAAAGCAAGAAGAGACACATCAGGAAATTAATTTAGCGTAAACTTGCATAAATCTTACGATGCCGACGTAATATTGTGTAAATCTTACAGTGCCGACGTAAGTTTTACACTTTTTTATTATTAAACTTACAATTGACACGTGTAAAATTTTTTTATATTTTCCGGATGTAGTCGTCATTCCAAGACGCGCAAATTTCAATATATGACATCCACAGGATTTGCGAAATACGTCACGGAATACATCACGAAATCCGAAATTGATGATACTTACCCAATAACCAGACATCCTGTCTTGGTACACTACCTCACTCCAAGTACCATCTAAGATCTGTAAAAACTGATACACTTGTTAAATAAGGAGATGGACATTGAAAGTGACGAGAAGAGTGATGGAGACGTGACCGTGACCAACAAACTCCTTACTATATAGTTGAAAAACAACTATTTTCAAAACTACACAATAGATCCAAAAACTCGGCTCGAGCTGAAGCTCAAAATTTTGAGTTCAAGCCGAGCTCAATCCAAGAAATAATGGGTTAGAGTTTTTTGAGTCGAGCTCAAGCCAAGCTCGAGTTTAATGTTACATAAATTTTTTTAGTAATGAATGATTTATTCTGATACTTTTATTTATTTATACACATTCAAGTTTTAGCTCGAGTCTGTTAAACTTAGAGAATAAAGCGAATAAAATGAATGATCTGAATGATTCAAATAAATGAATAAAACGAATGATTTGAATAATTGAGTGAAATGAATAAAACAAATAAACAAATAATTCAAATAAACGAATAAAAACGAGCAAAACAAATAGGAAATTCCTATAAAACGATAAAAAAAAATGAATAATTTGAATAAAATAAAAACGGAGTTTTTAGGTGTGCCTTTCATAAACAGCACTACATCGTTGTTTATTTACAGTCTAATATTATGAAATAAACCACCTGATTAATCATTTTCAACATTTGGTTTTGCTTTAGAAAATAACTAAAATAAATAAATAATGAATACTTCAACTAAAGATTTTTTCAAGCTATCTGATAAGTATCTATATGATAAAAAAAAATGATGGACTATTGAAGCTTTGATTTTGAAACCTTTGATTTGTTGTTAACGTAAAATAATGTTCTTGATGAGTATTTTTATCCAATATATTAAAATATAAAACTACTTTGTCAATTAACAATTAATCATTTAATTTAATTAAGACACACAATTACTTAATTAATCACTAAACAACCAATTAATTGAAAAGATTTGGCCAATATTAATTATTTACTAATCTCATGTTAAACATATTAAACATAAAAGTTATTGAAAATACTATTATTTTTTTTATGTGCATTTGTGCAAATATCTGAAATAATGAGCATCCAAAGTATAAGAACATCCAAATAATTACGAATATTCGAATAGTAATAAGGGTTAGAATTACAATCAATTCAAAGTTATATCCACGAAATTGGAAAATCATAATTTATAGAAATCTATACCACATTCCCTTCATACCATGTGCCATTAATTCAGTAGTTATTAGAACGCATATTTAATTATTTGAATTAAAAAAAAAGGGTTAACCATCAAAGTGCATGCATATAATGAAATTATATCTATAAAAAAGAACTTGGGCCATGCTCCAAAGGCCGCTACTTGGCAAAGCCTATTGTTCACCCAATGTGTTAATATTCATCTATATATCATCATGTAAAGCAAGAAGAGACACATCAGGAAATTAATTTAGCGTAAACTTGCATAAATCTTACGATGCCGACGTAATATTGTGTAAATCTTACAGTGCCGACGTAAGTTTTACACTTTTTTATTATTAAACTTACAATTGACACGTGTAAAATTTTTTTATATTTTCCGGATGTAGTCGTCATTCCAAGACGCGCAAATTTCAATATATGACATCCACAGGATTTGCGAAATACGTCACGGAATACATCACGAAATCCGAAATTGATGATACTTACCCAATAACCAGACATCCTGTCTTGGTACACTACCTCACTCCAAGTACCATCTAAGATCTGTAAAAACTGATACACTTGTTAAATAAGGAGATGGACATTGAAAGTGACGAGAAGAGTGATGGAGACGTGACCGTGACCAACAAACTCCTTACTATATAGTTGAAAAACAACTATTTTCAAAACTACACAATAGATCCAAAAACTCGGCTCGAGCTGAAGCTCAAAATTTTGAGTTCAAGCCGAGCTCAATCCAAGAAATAATGGGTTAGAGTTTTTTGAGTCGAGCTCAAGCCAAGCTCGAGTTTAATGTTACATAAATTTTTTTAGTAATGAATGATTTATTCTGATACTTTTATTTATTTATACACATTCAAGTTTTAGCTCGAGTCTGTTAAACTTAGAGAATAAAGCGAATAAAATGAATGATCTGAATGATTCAAATAAATGAATAAAACGAATGATTTGAATAATTGAGTGAAATGAATAAAACAAATAAACAAATAATTCAAATAAACGAATAAAAACGAGCAAAACAAATAGGAAATTCCTATAAAACGATAAAAAAAAATGAATAATTTGAATAAAATAAAAACGGAGTTTTTTTTGCTAAACTAATTGTGAGAAGCATGAAATAACTTCCCAAAAAGGTTAAGGAATTGATTTCTGATTGTTGTTCGAATAAGAATTTGTATTACAATAGGAACTCTAGATCAATTCAATAACAATAAGGATTTTTTAAATGGTTTGCATTTTGAGCAAACATTGCATTGTGAAATTTTATACAGTCGTTTCAACGAATTATAATTAAATTCACGTTACTGTTATGATTTTTAAAAACATAAAATTCATTGAAACGTGAATAGTAAATTTTGGCATAACGAATTTTAAAGCAATTTTCTTATTATTATGTTTGACTATATCAATATACATATATTCCAGAACCTAAAAAACATTTTTTATTAGAAACAGATATTAAAACAAGAATCGTTCCCACTTGAAATTTTCGGAATTTTTTAGTCTGTCATAAAATTATTTATGATGATTTAAATGTTCTAAAATTCAAGCATGTTATAAGCTTCAATTATTTCAGTGATCTGAAAAATCGTGATTTTATAAAAAAATAATATTAAATTTTGAGTTGGTTCAGCTCATTCGGAGCTTAAGAAAGGCAATTAGCTGAAAAATTGGAGCAATTAAAGATAGCCAAAAATCAAGGAATAAATCAACAAGCCCAGGACTATACATGCAGCCCAAAGTATTTTGACACTGTCATAAATGGGGTTACTCATGTAGTAAAGGGGTGTTACACTTATGTTTTTAATAGTAGTGCCATAATTAATTTCTACTTTCTACCATCAAAATTGGAATAATTTTGACCATTGCATCAGGAAAATGTGTTTTTTTTTTGATACACATATTATATGTATATTATATGTGTATTATTTTACATTACAGGTGATCCGCATATAATATACATATAATACACATGTCCATAAATTACACACGAATTATACATATATTATATGCAGATCACCTGTAATGTAAAATAATACATGTATAGTATACATATAATATGTGTATCAAAAAACATGTTTTCCTGATGCACCGAATCACCAAACCAATTTGGGCTGCATGTATACCCAGGACATTCAGCAACCAAAGAATTATATTTAGCTAATAAGTTTTTATTGACATTTCCAAGAAAAAGAACAAACCTATGAGAGAAATTCACTAAAAAAGAAACAAGGGAAAACAATTGAAGTAAACTCAAAAGCCAAACCAACCTACATCAATCCTTTTCTAACTTCATGAGGTATAAATTAATTGCTTGCCTTGTTTTTTCTTTTCAAGATGCTTCTGATAGTGCTGTAATGCCTGGGATCCATGGTAAATATTAATGCAAAATGGCAAAAGATGCAAAAACACAAAGATCATACCAATGAAGGTGTGATCTTTGCGTGTTTTTAACCTCCTATATACTATAAATGATTAACATGTCATGTGATAATTACGCATGCATATTTCTGGATATATACAAATCCTGTAAAACAAAGTCGCAGGACTATACATGCAGCCCAAATTGGTTTGGTGATTTCAATGGTCAAAACTATTCCCGATTTTGATGGTAGAGAAAGTAGAACTTTAATTACAGCACTCACCAGTGTAGGAAATTCAATCGGCGGAATCGACTAGAGCTAACCAAATATAGAAATTTACCGCAATAAAAATTTTACAGTCACATGATTTTTGAAAATTGTCAATTTTTCTTTTACATTTATTCCTATATATACATATGTAAATGATGATTAGAACAATAAACAACAACAATAATTATTATAGTGATGTTATTAAATATTAGTTAAAATTAAAGAGAAATTTATATAACTATTGAATGATTGATAAAACCTTTGTTAGTATATTTTGTTCATAGATCTTGCTTGTCCTTAAAGCTTACTCCTACACAAACTATTAAATAATTGATAAACGTTCATTAGAATATTTTGCAAATTGCATATTTCTTTGATTAATGCAATATTCTATTTATTAGATTTAAAATAAATGAACTTAGCTGTTCATTGTATTTTTTTAATAATAAGGATAATTTTCTTCCCGTTCATCTGGGAAATTCACGTGACAAAAGATCTGCAATATAAGGAAATTTTTCAAATTTTTATTTTGTTTCAATTCATCTATTTTTGATATTAACTTTTTTGTGTGTAACACGTTATTTAGGGCTAAACATATATAGTAAATTCAATAAACTCGTGCAACTTTGAAGCTCAAATTCTCCACAACAACATGAGATGAAATCGTGATTTTGTAGATTTCAAATACACGATTTATTTTGGGGTGCTGCATTTGTATTTTTGGAGAATTTGAAAATCTACACGACCAATTAAAAGTTGCGGGACTTAGTGACTTGCATCATATTAGCTTTATGTTAAGGCGCAGTCGAATTTCGAACATAAGTGTAACACCCCTTTATTATTATGACATGTGTAACCCCCTTTATGATGACACTGTCAAAATACTTTTGGCTGCATGTATTAAATGAATTATAATTAGTAGTATTAAAGGCAAATTAATTGACAAATAGTTGTCAAGGATTCTTTCATGATAAGCCAGGTGTAGCAATTAATTGTTTAAAGTACTTGAAATAATAATATAAATAACTAAATGACATATCGAGTATATAACTATATTGCTGATCACAGAACTTTATGAACCCAAAAAATTATTTATTTAACCAGTTAATTAAAACTTTCTAAAAGATAAATATTAAAAATAAAAAAAGCATGTGAATTTATACTAATTTAAATAATTTTCTATGTTGTATGTTATTCAAGATAATCTTTTTTAACTCTTTTATATAACAGAATAGATAATAAAAAAATACTAGTCATACATCCAAGGGCACTAAAATAAAAGGTTGTATTATAACAAGCGTAACCGTGACAATCATCTTTGTGTAGATCATAATTGAAGCCGAAAAGTAGATTGAACAGCTGACCTCCGATTGCCGGAAACTATAATTTGTTTTAATATTGAGAAAATTAGGGGTGGGAGAATTTGATAATTAAGATAGGAGAAAAATATGAATTGATTGATTGACTTACAATTGATATTATACCCCTACAAACATTAAAATATTTATTACTAATATTATTTTGAATTTTCAATTCATCACAAAATTTAAAAAACTCTTACCAATTCAATCCGAAATTTTTATTACCAAACCATTCGGAAACGATGGTTGGACTAACACCAAACAAATTTCCAAATCCATAACCAACAAAAACACTAACGATCCATAAATCACTAACACGTTTAATATAAATAGCTGTCATCAAATTCCCAATTAATAACCAAGTCCCGGCCAAAATCAAATACCATAACCTTCTAAGATTAAATAATTTTTTTGTCACATCTGAAAACGCCCCAACGCTAATTCTACCTAAACACGAAAATATTGAGATCAGCGAGACATGATAATTTTGCAGATTTTGTAATATTTCAGGAGATGAAGGATGTCGTGGTTCGTAATAAAGAGATTTTATGATTGTACCAACATTATTAATATACATTAATCCTACTCCACCAAGAAAAAATATTGAACAAGTTAATAATATAGCATTATTATTTTTTAAAAAATTCCATCCTGCTATATCCATATCTGATGATGATGGCGATCTTAACAAAGGTGATGTTTCGGTATGTTCGTGTTCTCCTCCATCAATCGCTACTATTTCATCGTTATTATCGTTATTGAGCGACGACGATGATGATGGTGGAGGGATAACGTTTAGAAACCAACCACCAACAAACAGAACAGACCCGGTTGTAATCGACAAAAATAACAAGAGATCGTAAACATTGTCTTTAAAAATCAAATTATCGATTTGTGCAAATGTGAAAGCCGATAATCCAAATAATGCTAATGGTGCCCCGAACGCTATTCCACGATACGAAGTAAAATTTTTTGCCTATCTTATTATATATTGTGTATGTGTCGTGGGCGTGAAAAAATGAAAACAAATATATGAAAAAGAGTAATAGCTATATCGAAAGAGAGAGATTAAATTACTCACAATAGTTCCCAGGCATGACACGATACCTAGTTATAATAATAACTATTATTATGTGAAAAAAAAATTATTTTCAAAATCACACAAAATCAATAACTTTACCTGCAGATGATGCAGCACCGGCTAAAAATAAGTAAATAGCACATAACATGAATGAGTGAACACGGAAATATCCTGCATATGTCATTGCTAAACTAAAATATCCAAAAAATACTAAAATCGAAGCGACTAATGTTGTTCTATAAAAAAAAAAGGGTCAAAATTTTCATTCTTTCATTTTTTCGTCTTTGCGTGGAATTTTATAATATACATACTTTCTTGGACCATAACTATCCATGATATATCCATTCACCGGCATGCTCAAATAAACTCCATAATTTGCAAAACTACCAATAGTGTTGATTTCTATCGAGCTATAGCCTAATTTATCTGCCAAGGCTGTACTATACGAAGAAAAAAGATATTGAGTACCGCATACTGATGCGATTAGCAATGCCGCAACGTATGATAATATTAATTTAGTTGCTCTACTGCTACTATTATTGCTACTACTAAATAATGATAATGGTGGCATATTATTAGTGTTATTTAGAACTTTTATTATTATTTCAAAGAAGAATCAAATCAATCGATTTTTAAAAAACCGAGGCAAAAAAAGATAAGGAGAAAAAAGGAATAATTTTATTATTGTTGTTGTTGTTGTTGTTGTTATTATTATTATTATTATTATTATTATTATTATTATTATTTATCATCCTTTTCATTTCATTTATATAAATAAAATGTGTATGTAAATCCTTCATTTTAAAAATTAAAATTCAGGGTTGGTATATAAAAAAAACCGTTTATATATTTAATTATATAAAACTTGTCACGTCACATGTTACGGCCTTATTTGCTTTTTTTAGAATAATAAAAATAAATTCATACTAATTGAAATCAATGTTTGTTGATTATCTAATCTAAAAATATTTATTATTGACATATTGAGACAATGTGCTTATTATTACTATGCGTGTAACAATGTCGCTTTCAAATATTTTGGTTTGGGCGAAAAGATTGCATACTTTGTAATCGTAAATCGCAACACTTCAAACTGGTATCCTATTGGCATCCTTTTTTTTACACTTTATTGTGACATGTTTTCAATGGATAACGGTCAAATGTTTTAATGTCTTCCTCCAAAGGTTCAAGAGTCAATTTCACATTGCGGCCACTGTATAACCAAATTTGTTTTTTACATAATATTATTATTACGATTTGTTGTCACATTAATATTAATTTGATCCGTGTAACCATTAAATTTTTATAACAAACTCCGTCAGTGATAAAAAAATATACAGAAGAGAGATTGAAAGTCTGGAAGGATATTGAACACTTATTTGATAAAGACTGTGAACAAGAAAAATAATTGTTGCAAAAAGCTTCTACAACAAAAAACCAATCCAAGAAGAGTGGATTATAGTTGTTCGCCATAGTTTTTGCATTTTCCAAATATTATGGACATGAATAGTTATACGTTAATACGCCATTTGGTTTAATAATTACGGATATAATTTGTTTTGCCTTCTGTTAAAATTGACCACACAACTATGAAAAACTAATTACAACATTATGGATATGGCAACGATTATTTATTAAGAGGGGCAACAACTATAGAATAGATTAAAGAGATGGTAGGTATTAATATTTTAATTATAATAAAAAAAGGTAACCAAAGAATAGGTAATATTCATAAATGGCTTTTGATCCAAAGTATTTCTTCCCATGTAATTTCTCTGGCAGTTTTTATCTTGTATTTAATATTCACATGTATATATATAAATTAAAATCATTATGTATTTTCTCAAAATAAATAAACATTACTTATCTTTTTGTCATTATTAATTCTCCTTGAGCATGAATAACCTTATCCCCATTATTGTATCAGTATTCTTGATGAGGATGCTACATTTGATACTATTTATTGTTCTTAAATTCGTAAAAAATAAATAAATAAAGTTGATAAATTACATCACCCAAGTAATGACAATATATATAGAAACAAAACTTTGAAGAAACCAATTTTGGAAAAGCCGCATAAAAATAAAAATGGCAGTGTGGTAACTTTTATTTCCCTTAAAAATGAATATCCAATCACAAAAGTGTATTGAAAGGTGGAAAATAGACCCATGATTTTTAATCCATGACTGACTTCTTTCCATGTAGGAAGGACAGTGGCCCATCACCATGTCATCAAGTGGTAGTAGAAAAGTTTTGGTGGACTTGGTTCCCTTTTTTTTGGCATGTGTTGTGCATGCGTGCTTTTCAATTGTGTACAATTACGAATTATAGAGTTCCTTAAAAATCATTTCAAAACCATTTTTTAAAAAAAATTCTAAATCTAACTGATATTGATCACAGGTAGAGCTTGTATCCGAACCCTAACCCTTAATTTGTATCTGTTCTGTTATCACGCAATCATTAATATTAAAACATATTCGGACATCCGTCCAAATATTCGGATACTCGGATATCCGCTGGTCAAAAAATTGTTTTTTCTTTGGTAATTCCATGAACATTATACAAAATGATTAATTGAATCCCCAGTTGTTCTACCTATATATTACTTTCACAGGATGCTTACAAACTTCATCCAAATCGTTAGGAATTTGGCATTGACATGATCAAAAAATAGCCATGTCCAACTCCTATATAGCAGAATTATTCCTTGTTTTCAAAAATCCCTCAATACTATTATTATTACTCGTAGAACTTTAAAAGTATTAATGAATTGGCTGTTGGTGGTTATAATTAGTTAACTAATCTCAGTAGTACTATCATCAGTGTTAGATGTTGAATTATTAGATTCTAAAACTATATCATTAATATTTGCATGTTCAAAATTATCATCAGAATTCAAATAAATCTATAATATTTTTTTTTTTAACATTATTGTAATTATTTATTTATCGTTCATATTACCATATAGTTATATACAAACAAATAAATTCGGATAAATTCAGATATTAATATTAATATTAATATCTGAAATCTTATCTATCCGAAATTGATTTTGTTTATCTGATCTGAGATAAATTTTGTTTCCAGATATCTGGAAAATCAATCACACAGATACAAGCTCTAATCACAGGCGTCAGATCTAACAAGTTTCTTCTCTCAAGCATGCAATCCACATCCTTCATAACCATGGAATTTTCCATAGGTGAAGAAGTTTGTCAAGTCGGAAGGAAGGCCTTGGACAAGTGAAAAGTTTAACAGTCTCCTTGACAATGATACAATCTCAATAAACCAGTGTTCGGAAATGACCTGACAATTTGACCAATATTGGATTTGGAATCATTTGATCACAAATAATCCAAATGCCAAATTTTAAATCTCATTGAACAATCATTTGAATCATCTGTCATTTTGTCATTACAATTGGTTCGATTATATATTCATATAAATATTAAATTACTAGGATTTATATTGTAATTATCTTATTTATTGTTTGATTAATTTAAGGGCTTAATTTTTCAGATCCTAACTCAATTTAAAATAAAATATATGAATTTTAATAGTAACCTTTATATTTTTTATATGGACTTTGCGATTTTAAACTAAATTTAGTAAGCTATTACATAAAATTCCTTATTTTCTATTACAAAAAGTTGTGTAAATGCGCCTTTAAAAACATATTACAGTCATACCTCGTTTATATCCCCCTTTTTTTTTGAGAGAGGTTTATGGATTCATTTACCTTTGTTAAAATCAACATTTAGAAGCAAGATTATTTAATGAGATGTTTTTACTTGTATAACTTTTCAACTTGGCAATTTCGTCATCTAATATTCTACTTGTATGATATGCATCTGGATGTGATTTGTGTACTTGTTGCAAAACACTATTACTAGTATTATTATTATTAACAAGGATTTCTTTTAGTTTATTTTCAGCAAAGTCAAAAAGCTCTCCAATAGTTGGTCTTTTAGATGGATCTACATCCCAACATTTCTGCATTATTTGCAAATAATCAACAGGTATTTCAGGTAATATTGGTGGTCGTAAACCTGCAGATATGTTAAACATTAAGTCATGATTATGAGCTCTATCATCAAATGGTGGATGGCCTGCAAATATTTCCCACATTAACATCCCAACACTATAAATATCTGATTCTTTGGTGTTTTTATTTCCTCTAAATAGCTCAGGTGCAATGTATGATACAATTCCATAGATTTTATTTGATAATTTTTCATCAACTGGTCCACATAATCCTAAATCTGTAATATAACAATTACCTCCTTGCAATAATATATTGCCACTATGTAAATCACAATGAATTAAATCTTTTTCATGTATATAATATAATGCATCACATAAATATCTAAAGATTGTAATTCTATTTTTTAGTGTTAAATTAGAATGATTTTTTTGTAAATAATCCTTTAAATTTCCTTCACCATGATAATCAAGAACCATTGCATAATTTCCATTATCCAAGAATTTAGTTATACCATGGCAAGGAACAATTGTTGGTGACCTAATTTTAAAATAATTCATTGCCTGTAATTAAAATATAGAATCAATTAATATAGTGTTATTTATTTTTTGATTTGAATAAAAATTACCAACCTCATCAAAGAATTTTTTCCTGGATTACTTGAATTATTTAAACATTTTAACACTACTAGTTGCCTTCCATAATAACTAAATTCCTTTTTATTTTTATCATAATCAATTATTTTTCCCCTTGTCCATTTAGCAGTATAAACTGAACTAAATCCACCTTCAGTTAATTTTTTTACTTTTATGAATTGACCAAAAGGTATCCATTCTAAAATATATTCTGGCAGAGATGATTTCATTTGACATTGTTGAATAAAATTATCAATTATGTTATTTCCAGATGTCCAAGTAGTGAAAAGACTCTGTAGTTGTAAACCAATACAACCTTCACAGAATCTATTAGAATATCTTGTTGATTTACACTTGTTACATTTTTTTGGTTTGCCATATTTATAAATTACATTATTTAATTCAAAACAATAAATAAAACTTTCTCTACAGTATTCTTTTTCATTTTCAAAAAGCTTCTTATTTTTTTTGACTAATGAAAAATAATAATTTCTCATACTTTTTCTTTTAGAACTCAATAGAGCATTATTATACATTTCATTACGAATTTTATATACAAAATTCTTTCTTTCTAATAGTTCTAATGATAATAAATTACTAAATGACATTTTAATATCTTTTTATTTCGGAAGAAGGTAATTATTATTGAATGGTGAAAGAAAATATTTTTTTTTTGAGAATAGTAATTTATTGTTTCTGCACACCTGCACAAAAATGATAAATTTAAAAAGGTTATGTATACAATAACAACAAACAATAATAATATGGAGTCATCTAAAGACATCAAAAAAAATTGTGCAACTTCAAACCACCAAAACTTTCTTTTTAATTAATAAAATTGAAAAAAACTGTACGCATGTCACCGATTAAATTTGGGAGAGCGTGTTTTAATTGGTGATAACAATTATTTTTATTTTGTGTGGATCAACGAATTGATTTTGGTATTAGCGAATAATTTTGGTTAAAGAAGATAAAAGTTTTAAATAAAATATTTCTATTTTATTTATTTAATTTTATTTAGTCGAAATTGATTAACTTATGACAAAGTTTTCCTTGGTCGAAACTAATTAACTTGTTAGAAAGTTTTCCTTAGTCGAAACTAATTAACTTATAACAAAGTTTTCCTTAGTCGAAACTAATTAACTTGTAACAAAGTTACTTTTACATTAGGTCGAAATCAAGTTCTTTATATACATGTTCTTTACACATTAGCCGAATTGCGCGAATCCGCTCGGTTTGGGCGAGTCCACTCAAATTGTGCGTTTTCGCTCAGATTGTGCGAATTCGCTCACTTTGTACTTGGGTGAATCCGCACGTTTTGAGCGATTCCGCCCGTTCCGGGAGAATCGTCATTAATATTAATCATGAATGTGCTACGGATTGATTAATAATAATAACTAAATACGGAAACGTAACACGAATTCAGATGATAATAAATAATACACGTTATTGATAAATAAATAGAATTAATAATAATAATAATAATAAAAATAA